CTATATACTTAGCACTGTCCTTGTTAAAAACAAGATGAACTGCATGATGTAAAAATGCAATTCTCAATACTTGTATTGACAATACATAAATGTTTCTAGACTTTTAAAATATGAGGTAGAATTCAGTTTTAAATAAAAGAGTGCTGGGATACAGCTTAGTGGTAGGATGCTTACCTAATATGCCCAAGTTCCTGTGTTCCATCCCTAGCAGAGGAAAGGAAGGAGCTGGAGGATGGGAGGAGACAGGAAAGAAGAGGGGGAAGGGGAGGAGAAATGTTCTTGAAACTCTGTTAACTCTTACCTAAAGATGCAGAACCTCATTTTCAGTTTGATGGGGATAAAATGGCCATCATTTAGACTCAGAAGCTATGAAAAATTGTCACATACTAAGCTTCTTTCTTACAGATACAAAAAAAAAATTAAGACTGTCTAATGCTTGTTGCTTTTGTACCAGTGATTTAGTAGTTCCATCCTTATTTTTCAGGAATGTATACCTATTTTTAAGTGCAAGAAGAATCAAAATGATGCATGGATATGTAAATACGAAACTTTTGATGTATCACTTAGGGTTGGGCATCTCACAGACGCTTACTTATTCTCTGTGTGTGACCAGTTGTGAAATTCTCTAATCATCTCCATCCTCTGCCAAAAAAAGAGCTTCTTTGTTAGTGGTGACTAGCATACTTATTACTCTAACTACCCATATTTAGTATGTAGTAAGAAACTACATTTGTCTAGGGATGTGACAGCTTTAGGGTTTTCTCTGAGATCTGTGACCTTGCCAGCCATGTGTATGTAGCTATGGTTACAGTACTATACATGAGTTCCCTGCCATTGAGTCCAACTAGGTATCTGTTAATTACCCTCATGATAAAAGTGCCACTATTGCCCCAATATAGTTTGCTCTGCTGGTCATTTTTGTGGTTATTAGGTCTTAAAAATAGGGTTGAACCATAGATTGATGTTCTCCCTTAGCAGCTTGCATAGTGTCCTCCAAAACTATGAGAGCTAGCCTTCAAGGAAGTGGCTTCCAGGTCAGTTCTAGATCTACTGCTTTAAGTCTTTTGTCCGAAGTATGTCCTGCCTTCAGCAATGGGGTCTTCACTTCAAGTTCTGGGAGGCACTCAAGGACTGTGGCAATAGCGTATGTAATTTTGGGGGTCTCTTGGACTACCCTGGCCAACAACTCAAAGGGAGGTTTCTTCTATCTGGCACTGTTTCTTGTTATATAGCCTTCAGCTGTATACATAGATTCATGTAGAGATATTTTATGTAGGTATAACTTTATATTTAGTTCAATAAATTTAGAGAGTTTTTCTTTTCTGTTTTTAAATCAAAGTCTATTGTCTTCAGTTTCCTACAGACTCCCAGTTCCTATAAAAGCTTTGAAGCAAGTAGCATTAGCTTTTTAAAATTAATTACTTATATTTTTTTATCTTTTTGGGACAGGGTCTCCCTGTAGCCTCAGCTGGCCTGGAACTCGCTATGTAGACCAGGCTGGCCTCGAACTCACAGAGATCCACCTGCCTCTGCCTCTCTGGTACTGGGATTAAAAGTATACGCCACCATGTCCAGCTTTATTACTCCTGTTTTTTATAAAACCAAAGAAATAAAATGACATGGATCCTAGAGAAAATGAAATATAGAATCCTAAACCTCATTCTTGCAATAGATTTTCAGGGATGCTAACATTCACTTTTTTTTCTTATGATTTTAATAATAAATCTAACTTACTCTGTCCAAAGTATTATTTCAGCAGGTCAAGGGATTTGTTTTCTGATGTAAGCTAAATAGATTGACAGCTGTGTTCAACAAATGTTGCATATTCACCAGACAGAATAGGTAGCATGACCAAAGGTCTCAGATACCCTCTAGTGCAACTTGATTAGCAGTATTTTCTGTCACCATCCCCCACTTTCTTTTTTGGACTGCTAACCTAAAACACTTTTTTAAAGCATTGATAGGCCCTGCCTAGACTCAGGCAGAGGTACTGATGAGTAATGAGATGACCTAAGGCAGGCAGGAGGGTGGAAAACGGTGAATTTGATTAATCATCCTGTCAGGAATAATCAAGAGGCTGTAATATTGTCTGTGGTACTTCTAAATTATGGGGGGATTTTTTTCATCAAAATAGGAGTTTTGTGTAACCAACAAAGTGTATGTTCTAATTGACCTTGGGACTGGTATCTTTTGGATAGGCCATTAATGTCCACTATCTTGGTAATTGCTTACTGCTTGCTAGACAAGCTGAAATAGAAAATGAAACAGCTGTATTCTAAAGGCCCTTTTCTTGTTCTGGGAGAGTACAAAAATTTTTTAGTTCTCTCTCTTATCTACCTGCCTTTGACTGTAGATTTGTGGGCTACCACAAGAGTCTGTCCTTCATGTTTTCCTGATACTCACACGAGGCTTAGTTCTACCTGTGGGCCTTGGTTGGATCCCTCCATGCTGTCTCACAAATCTGTGTCTAGTCCTAATGCCTCACACAGGCTCTATTCACCACCACCACCACCACCCCCCGCCCCAGACTTTAGAGTTCTCTGTGACCTTCCTCCTTAGGTACCACACTGACTCTCCTGTGTTGCTGCTCAGAATTCTCTGCCCAGCTTGATTCTGTGGCAGCACCTCACACCTCTGGAATCTCCTGACTTCAGCTGCTCTTCACCTTCAGACTACTTGCCACACTGAAGCCATAGCAATGCTTTTAAAATACGTATCCAGCCAGGCCAAACTTCTCCCAAACCAAAGGGGAAAAGGTTGAAACCTTTCCTGGGTTTTTGCCCTGCATGGCCGACAGCCCCACTTTTCTCATCTTTTTCCTTTTCCTGGTCCTTTACTGTGCTCTGGATCATTGTCGTTGACTGCCAGTTGGTCTTTTTTATCTAGATAATCTTGGAGTTTTTTTCTTTGTATTGGATCAAGTTCATGCTTCTTAGTCCTAGTAAAGAACAGACCTGATATTTCTTACCCTCCATTACTCATACCTACCCTTGTTGGTGTACTTTGTTTTCCCTTCCTCCTCTTCTCATTCATTTCGTACATCTTCATGTGCATCTTAGCATCATAATACTGTACACAGTCCTGTGTCTCCTCATTTGTTCTCTCCACCTCACTGTTCTCTCCACCTCACTGTTCTCTCCACCTCACTGTTCTCACCACCTCACTGTTCTCTCCACCTCACTGTTGTCTCCACCTCACTGTTCTCACCACCTCATTGTTCTCTCCACCTCACTGTTGTCTCCACCTCACTGTTCTCACCACCTCATTGTTCTCTCCACCTCACTGTTGTCTCCACCTCACTGTTCTCACCACCTCATTGTTCTCTCCACCTCACTGTTGTCTCCACCTCACTGTTCTCACCACCTCATTGTTCTCTCCACCTCACTGTTGTCTCCACCTCACTGTTCTCACCACCTCATTGTTCTCTCCACCTCACTGTTGTCTCCACCTCACTGTTCTCACCACCTCATTGTTCTCTCCACCTCACTGTTGTCTCCACCTCACTGTTCTCACCACCTCATTGTTCTCTCCACCTCACTGTTGTCTCCACCTCACTGTTCTCACCACCTCATTGTTCTCTCCACCTCACTGTTGTCTCCACCTCACTGTTCTCACCACCTCATTGTTCTCTCCACCTCACTGTTGTCTCCACCTCACTGTTCTCACCACCTCATTGTTCTCTCCACCTCACTGTTGTCTCCACCTCACTGTTCTCACCACCTCATTGTTCTCTCCACCTCACTGTTGTCTCCACCTCACTGTTCTCACCACCTCATTGTTCTCTCCACCTCACTGTTGTCTCCACCTCACTGTTCTCACCACCTCATTGTTCTCTCCACCTCACTGTTGTCTCCACCTCACTGTTCTCACCACCTCACTGTTCTCTCCACCTCACTGTTGTCTCCACCTCACTGTTCTCACCACCTCATTGTTCTCTCCACCTCACTGTTGTCTCCACCTCACTGTTCTCACCACCTCACTGTTCTCTCCACCTCACTGTTGTCTCCACCTCACTGTTCTCACCACCTCACTGTTCTCTCCACCTCACTGTTGTCTCCACCTCACTGTTCTCACCACCTCACTGTTCTCTCCACCTCACTGTTGTCTCCACCTCACTGTTCTCACCACCTCACTGTTCTCTCCACCTCACTGTTGTCTCCACCTCACTGTTCTCACTACTTCCTGCTCATTTTAATGAAGTGATAATTGACTTTTGTTCTCCCCAAGTCTAGATTACCTGCACTGGTTTACTTCTTTGTTTTTATAGTACTTTACCCTTAACCCAAAGGAGGATATGTTGTACAGCTCCTAGTAGAATAGATGCCTGAAACCAAGTAGTACTGACCCCTCTATATATGGTCTTCTCCTTTACCTCTCCCCTTAAAATAAAGCACTTTGTGGTTTCTCTTTGGCATGTCAGAATTGCCAGCATCACTGCTCAGGCATTTTGGCATCATTATTAAGGAAAATAGAGGTTGCTTTAATGCCGGCACTGTGATACTCTGACAATTGACCTAATAAGTAAGACAGCTACTAAGTGACAGATGGGCAGATAGCATATACAGTGTGGATTGGCTGGGCAAAGGGTTGACTCATGAACTGGGTGGGGTGAGGTAAGAGTTCATCAAACTACTCAGAACAGTCCTCAGTTTCAAGTTTGTTTCTGGACTTTTCCGTGAATGGTTTTGGACAACAGTTGACTATAGGTAGCTGAAACTTCGGAAGGCAAAACTGAGTAAGGGCCATAGAGTGTGGGGCACTATACTATGCCATTTTTCTGTTTTGTGTTAATTCAGTCTTCTGCAGCTCTAGTGTACTCCGTTTTCCAGATCTTATAAGGCCCTAAGTTTGGAATGGCCTTTCCTGCTTGTTTTTGGTAAACATAGTATTTCTGATAGATGTAGACACATAAACTGTTGGTTACTTGACTGAAAATTTGGTTATTTGGCTTTTTTCAAAATACTTAAGAATACTTAAGTTTTGTTTTTTTTCTTTTCTAGAAAGTTCATTTTTTAAAACAACGTCCAACTTCATGAATCTGAAGAATTTTGAGCATTCCAAGTCTTAACGTCACACCACTACTCCAGCAAATTTGTGCTACAACTGGTAACAATGACCAGAAGCCTGAAGAATTAAAATGCCAACATCAAACCTTACCTTAACAGCTCTGGTCTATTACTGTTCCTGTGCATTGTTTAATATATTATTTGTTTTATAACCACTTCTAAATATTCTTGTCTCTCCATCCCCCCCTCCATCTTTGTTAAGAGGTTTTGGTTTTGTTTCCTTTCCTACCCACTTTTTGTGACTCATTTGCTCAAATGACAGTGAACAAAGCCAGCCCCAGCTGGTAAGGTGCTGTTCACTTGAACAGGTGCTGTTATATGGAAAGGAAACTCTATGACTAATTTAGATAGTGATTTTCATTCTTCATGCTTCTTTCTATTGAGTTCTTACAGCCAATATTTACAGTTTTCAGATTGCAGTAAATACACTGCATGAGAAAATATTAATACCCATTAAAAGCATTTCTTACATCTTGAAAATTTTCTAATGTTTGAGAATTTCACTGGGGATGTTTTTATATTAAACCCTTTTGACTTTCCAGTCCTGTGACTTTTTACTTTTAGTAGAGAGTCAGAGAATCTCCAGACTGGAGAATTACGAAGTTTTGTGACCATGCACTGTGTTGAGAGACCTGTCACACCACAGTGCCATTACTTTTCAGAAACATGCTCTTCGTCAGCATTCCAGAACAGGAGGGAGGAAAACAAGAACACTTGTTTTCTCTCTTCTTCTAAAAAATCAGGCAGCTTAAAATCTTAGTGCTTTCTTTCTTAATGGTTCCAAATTTCAATACTTTGCATTATTTGAACATTTGGGTAGAATACTTGCTTTGTATTAAAACTTTTTGTCTACATGTGAAACTGACCTTTTGTTATTGAGCAGGCATATCTCTTTAAGATAGCTTGATGATTTGCAGGTTTGAAGATGCTGGGAAGGAGAGGGTAGGGGGAAATGGTGGGGTTTTTGTTGATTATAAGAAGGCTATGCCATTTAAAGCTGACACCAGAGCCCTGGTAGGGACTTATTAACTGTATTGAACATTTCTCCTTTGCTTTTGACCCTATGTATAGTTATGATGCCAGATTAGATTTTATAGCAGCTTCAAGTTGTATTAAATGATATTTTGCTTTATGTAATACTGTTATAAAATAAAGTTTGTTTATTCTCTAAACTGTCCCTTCTCTTTTTATAAACATTTAAAAGAATAAACTGGAGTGGTATTTCCATCAGAAGGCCTAGTATTTTGTGGAATGTGGCATTTTTGAGTGTTTCAGCTCTATTTTTTAAATTTGATGCTGCTGCCAGTATCCGTGATCCGAAATAGTGAAAGCAATGTGGAAAGTTTGCAAATCCAATGTGCAGTGTGCCAGATTCCTTCTGCCTGTTTAAATGATGGATCCAGCTCATATGGATTCTGCGAGGGATGTTTGTGCATGTTTTCTCTGTATACTTGTTTTGCTTTCGGGAAATGTTTCAGCTGTACCATCTGAGTCTTGTGCCTCTGCCTCATGTCCTGCTTTACTGTATGTCCATTTTGCCTTCATGTAGTGGCAGACTGTGCTAAGGGACTGCTTCCAAGTGTAACTGAGATGACCTACTGGACTGCTTTCACCATGGCACACCGTCATTATAGACTTAGTTTTCTTTTAAACATTATACAGAAAATGGTCAACAGAGCACAGTCCTTTTGAAATGTTTTATATAATGTCTTTAGTCTTTTTAAATGAGTATGATGAATATAATTTGCCAAGCTGTTGTCTTTGAGATCTGTTTCCACTAAATTATCTCTCAACTTGCGAAAGACCTTTCTCACTTTCTCTGTAATTGTTACAAAAACAACTCTCTGGAGAAGCCTATCTCAGCAAGCCAAGCATTGGAAATACTATGGAACCAAATGTGCATATATTTCCCATCAGAAAGTTTGCATGTATAACATTCACATTTAAATCATAGATTGATCTTCCCATAGTGGTTGGTGATGGTGAAAACTATATTCTTCCATGCATACATCTCATGATAATAGTAGTGATGGAAAGTTTGCCTTCACAGCATGCATTGACTAGGCAACACATTTAGGGCTCAGTTTTACTTGACTTGGGTAGCATGGATAGGGCTTAAGATCCTGGAGCTATCAATCGTGTGGGGACATAATGCCTAAAGAACCAGTTGGAACAATATTGGTAATTATCCCATGTGTGAACATCAACAAATTCTGTCTTAAGTATGTTGTACTTCTTACAAAGGAATTCTGAGGGTGTCATAATCTCACTTATTAAACTGGGCTTCTAAGAGCCCAAATCAGAGTAAATAGGAAAGTAGATCAAAAAGAACTTTGAGATATGGATTTGAAAGTTTTGTTAGTGGAATTTTTTTAGATTCCTCGTTTATTCGGTGTTAATTATAAATGATACTTTTGTAGTGCATGCTTTTTGTTTCATTCTCTGGCTTGTTCAAGATCTGTGCCGTGGCCTAAAGGTGATAACTCGGAAGTTGCTTCTGATTAGAAAGCAAGACTACTGTTTTACTTTTTTCATTGCTGTGACAAAATACCTGACAAAAACAGCCTATGGGAGGAAGGTTTATTGTGTCTCACCAGTTCAGAGGGTTACAGTCCATCATGGCAAAGGAAATCATGGCAGAGCTTGCAGAAACAAGACTATGTGGCAGAAACTCCTCCCAGTGCTCAAGAAGTAGATGGAGTGGCAGGAGCCAGGGACATGTATGGATTTACCCATAATGCCCTGCTTCTGTAAACCAGGGCTACCTCCTAAAGACTCCATTCATAACTTCAAAATAGTACCACAAACTGGAAACCAAGTGCTTAAGACATGAATCTGTAGGGAACATTGCAGACTCAAGCCTTAGCTTCTTAAGAGCTAGAGCATGCTTTGAAAATTAGAGTCTCAAGTGGGAGGATTTTAAGATGTAAATTCTAACTTCCGAGGTTTAATTTTGCCAAAGAACTTAGAATTTCAAGGAAAATCTGGGCTTGACTTTTTACTAGAAAGCACTGGAGTACCTTAGAAGTTAATTATAACTTTTTTTAACATAAAAAAACTTTATTGAGAATTTCATACATGCATATAAGGTGCTTTAATCAAATCCATGCCCACTCTCTCTCCTGCAACTCCTCCCATATCTCCCCATCACTTTTCTGACGTCTCTCTCTCTCCCCAGCCCTTCTTTTGGGGCTTTCTGCTACTCTAACATTCCCCCCCACCATGAAGAGGTAACCCTAAAATCTTTTAGGGATTAGATAAGTGCCCCCAAATACTTTTGACATTTTTGGCCTTTGGAACAGAGTATGTTCCAAAGAGGCCCAAGGACATTTTGACTTTTAGCCAAGAAACTGGCTACTTTTCTTTGGGGTTTTTTTTAATCCTAACTGCCTAGCCAATTCCCACCTTGTAATCTTATCACACCATCCTCTGAAGAGGTTACCCAAATTGCCAATAAGGAATTGAGACACAGGCCGCTCTGGCTTCTTCCATGCTGAACAAGGATGCAGGGTGTGGCAACTGGAGTACCCCTTCAGTGGGTCTATCTAAAAGACACCCAAATTGCATAACTCTTGTCTCTAAGGGGAAAAGAAAGTCCTTGAATCATGAATAGGAGATGTGAAGGAGAAGTAAAGGCAAAAGTAGTTAGCATTACAAGTTCTAGACAGGGAACCAGAAAAAAGTCAGAATAAGGCATATTTCAAATGTTCCTATCAAAGTCCATTGGAATTTCTTGATGAGAGCTTCCAAAAGCATCCTTCTATTGGGTTGCTCCTCATTTTTCTTTTGTCTGCCAAGGCTGGACTTGACAGTGGTGGAGTCAGGATTTGTTTTCAGACACTTAAAAGATGGGCTAAAGATCTGAACAGATTTATCAAAGGAAGAGATAAAGATGGCTAAGAAATATCTCAAAAACTGTTCAACATTGATGCAAATTAAAACCACCCTATGGTTTCACCTTACCCCAATCCAGCTGGCTAGGATCAAGAGAACAAATGATACCAAATGCTGGCAAGGATGTGGAGAAAGGGGAGCACTCACTTTTGGTGGGATTGCAAACTCGTGCATCTCCTATGGAGAACAGTGTGGAGAACTCTTAAATATGAACCTACCATAGCCGGGCATGGTGGCACACGCCTTTAATCCCAGCACTCGGGAGGCAGAGGCAGAGGCAGGCGGATCTTTGTGAGTTCGAGGCCAGCCTGGTCTACATAGTTACAGTCCAGCTGGGGCTACAGGGAGACCCTGCCTCAGAAAGCCAAAAA